AAATATATGTATTTGTATATTTTAGTTATTCTTAAACACTATTCCAATAGTATCTTATTATATTTATTAAGCTTTCTATTTATAAGTTTAGTAGTGCTTGGTCTCACACCAAGCGCTCGTAATGAGTAGTGTTCGGTCTTATACCAAGCGCTCGTACTCGTTTCTTGTATGATCTATCTTGATGAAAATAGCGTTCGTCCAACTTCAATAGAATTTTCTTTCTACCGTGTTCGGTCATTGACTGACATTCGGATATCTTGATGTAAATTCAAATAAACTAAGTATTCATAAGCGTTTGGTTTCTTAATGTGAATCCTTCTAAGTATTATTCTCTGAATGTCTTGAAGTGTCTACATCCATTGGTTTCGGCTTAGAGCCTTAGTACTTGGCATGGTTCTTTCGGTGTTCGGTTAGAACTCTCAAGAGTCAGTTCATTTAATTGGCTCACTTTGTAAGTAACGTTCGTCATATATTGTATAATTGTACTCGATTTCTTTCGTAACCCGACAGTAAACCTCTCGGTCTTATTCTATTATGGAACTGGAGACCTCTCTGTCTTGTTCCAAGTGTTCGTCCTCGTTCTGAGTGAGATTGAACGTTCGGTATCTGGTGTCTTTATAAATCTTTGAACAAAGAGGAAATTAAAATGATTGATAATGAAAGATGAAATTGAGATGATGAATAATGAAAGATGAAACTAAGATGATTGATAATGAAAGATGAGGAGAATATGGTATGAATGAAATGTGTTGGATTATGAACGAGCGTTCCGGGGAGGAACGACTCATGAGTGAATATTGGAATTTGTAAAGTATGAATGTGGTTATGCTAAGCTGGCGGTTCATCCTGATGTTTCGTGAGTATTCATCCTCACGCAGAGGATGGTAGGTCATGTGTGGGAACGACAGGTGGTCCTAGTCCTTAGGGGTACTTTGGACAGATAGGACTAACCTCGGGTGGCAGCTGATTAGTATATTCTAGTTACTACATCACCCGGGTGCACGAATGTCGTAGCTACACAGATTTCATACAGTCCGGACAGTCAGTCTAGTATTAAGCTTTATATGAAACGTATAACGAAATATATCTTGTGTGTATGATTTAGTGAAAATGTATGTTTATACATGAATTAAATTACATAAGCTTACCCTGTGTTCCTGTCTTATCGTGTTTTGTATGTTCGTCTTGTCATTGCAATGATCATCCGTGTGGATGTGAGCAGAAGGAGACGAACGATTGGAAGATGCGCTAGAAGAAGAGAACTTGGTCGAGGTAGAAGTGAAGACCGAAGAGTAGGACGTTCGGTCAGTAGTCTAGTTATTGTAAAGTAGTTGTTCGATCACCTTCCCTTTTTGTTATGTATGACCGTTCTGTATTTTATTTTGTAAACCATTCGGTCAGGTTTGCTTATCCTATATAGTTTATGGTAATTCTTTTTGTAAGGCCGTTCGGCCGTAAAAATACGTTCGACTTTTAGTGTAAAGACTGATCTTAATTATTAATTAATGTGATTATTTTATTATATAGTTTTGTACTATATTTTTAGGATGTTACAATATACAAGATTAAAATATATTTAATACTTAGTTTATGGTTTATTTAATTTTTAAGTGATTAGGTTTTTATAGATATAGAAAATTTGTTGTAAATACCGACAAATAAACATGAATAATTTATTTTATCTCTTGAAATAAGCCTCGTGTTTGTGAGTTTTTTTTATTTTATTTATTATGATTCATCTCACTGTATACAATATATAAAATATATTATATAAATCCTTAACCTGGTTAATAATGTATTTAAAGCAACTTTTAAGATTAAATTTTCTAATTCTTATTAATAAGATTTTTAAGTGGATTTTTTTTCATATGATAGCTATCTATATCTGAAAATATGTTTAAAATTCCTATAAATCCCATTGATTTTGATTCTAGTTTATATGAAAACATTTATCTGGCTTTCATCTTTCAAAAAAATTTTGCCCGGTAGTATATAACATTTATTAATGATTTATTGTTTAGTCAAGAATCAAATATTACTTAAGTTAAAATATATTAATATTTAATATTTACTAAATGTTATGATATGATGTTATCGCTTAAAAAAAATATAGCTTATCTACCTTAAGATATCTTTAAAAAATTGAATTCTAAAGAACAGATTATAAAGACTAAAATAATTTATTTAAAACTAAAATCTACGCTGATAAAATATCAAAACTTTGTATAACTTGTATATTTTATTGTTTAAAATTAAAAATTTATAAATTGAAAATATTAACTATTAAAACTTTATTTAATAAAATTTAACCGCAAAAAGAAAATTTTCCACTTCTTTTTAGATTTTCGAATTAACTACTTATGTTATTTAAGATTCAGACATACCATATAGAATCCAGGGCAGAATATCTTTATTTACTTTTAAAATATCTAGAAAATTAAATAATATAAGTTATGATTACTTTGTGTTTCGATCTCAATAAAATATCTTTATTTAGTTTTAAAATATTTAAACAATTAAATAATATAAGTTATGATAATTGTGTGTTTTGATCTCAACAAAATTATTAAAAAACTTAATGTTTCATTATTATTTTTATAGTAATATTATTGTTTTGATCCCAAATCTATTATAATTGACTTTACGGCATTGATTTTTTTTAGAAATGAGTATTTAAATTATATTTGATTTCAATTTATGTGAAGTTATTATGATTTTTATAATAAAAAAACATTCATTTAATTTGTTGGCAAAGAATTGTGACTAATTTAAAGAATATTAATTATAAGTAAAAATTATTGATATTTTTTTACAATAACATGATTATTTAAAAATATCCATAAATTATATTTTGCTGTCCGTTGATTTTTAAATTTCTATTTATCATTCCTAGTACGTCAAACTTACATTCTCAAACATGACATATTAGAGGTAAAAACCAAAGATGTTTTCAGAAACAATATTGCAATAAATAATTAAAAATGTTTTCTGATATGCAAAAGAATAAACCTAGTTGAAAGTTAAGATTATTTATTGTTCTGAAAAAGTATTGGGGAAAGTGATTCATTGTCCGGAAAGTGGGCCCTTTGAAAAGAAAACGAAGAGGAAACAAAAAGCAAGTCATTTGTCACAAAATTGATTGATTCCCCTAATTAACGGGCCAGATAAAGCCCATTATTAATTGATTTATGAACAATGTGGGCCACATGGCAGACCAGATACCAACAACTTAGGCCTCCTATCAAACCCCTTGGGCCCACATAATTCAATCAATGTGACCATCTATCATCATTTATTTTGCCACCTTCCACTGTAATCAGTGCATTCACTCTTCCCTTCTCTTTTCTTTCAATGAATTTTCACAAAAGTAAAACCTAATAGAAAAAACTACACAACTCAAATTGCTGAAAAAAAAAATAGTTAACAACCAAAATTGTAAATTTAATAAATATTAGCACCCAAACTAGCATTAAAAAATAAAAAAATGTTAATAATATTCACATTAATACAGAAAAGAAGAGTATGTTTTAAAAAATATAGTCAAACATTTTATCCTCTTATCTTAATTTCTTAGTTTTCTGTTCACTGGAGGAAAAGTACGAATATGGTTAAGGCTGGAGAAGAATAATCCAAAAGCACTTATAGTATATTTATTTCCTGATATAAATTTATGGTAACTGTAATATAGGTTTATTTCTCCACATGCAGCCAACCAAACATGACTTCTGCACCCTTAGAATTTGACATTCATAAAACTTAACACTTTTAAGATCAAATCTAAAGCCAACATGTTCAACTAGTTTGACAGAATCGCTTTTTAATTGAATTATTTTTCAGGAGCAATAAATTGGTTTTTTTACTATCTCTGACTTGAAAGTGAAACTGTTGACAGAGTTAGGAAATTGATTTTAAGTCATTGGGATGTCTATTGGAATTTACGAGTTCCTGCAATGCTAGAATTGGTTACATTGTCTATTAGAATCAATTATACTTAGCTGAAATCGATTACGCCTTCCTAGGAATCAATTTCCACTTGTGTTAGATGTATGGTGGAATAGGTTCCACTTCAAGAGAATCACTTGGATGCATGCACGTCAACAACAGTAAGGATAAAAAAAGTATTTTTCAAATGTTCACCCAGCTGAATTTAAAAGAGATTAAAAAATACTCCATTTTTCATAACCTCATCATATATTGCTTTTAAATACATATATCCAAACATAGTAGTCAATATTATTTGTTAATAATATTTTCATCCTAAACAAACACAATATTAATTAGATTGAAAAATATTATTATTATTATATATATGGATGATGCATATTTGAATTGATTCAAAATTAAATTAAATTTGATTCGGTAATATACCTCAAAGTTGAAAATACTTCACTTTAACTTTCATATTTAAAACATGGATAAGAGCCTTTAAACTCCAATCCAGGCACATACGTGGTTAATTGAAAACGAGAAATGAAACACAAATAAACATAAAATGAAATCGTCAACCCAAAACAACAATTAAAATGAACACACTTTAAAAAAAAAAACCCTTTTTCCAAAAAAGTAAAATAAATAAGGATAATAATATTTTCACAATATGTTTTTGACAACATTTTAACATCATCTACCTCACAATATTTTTTTAATAATATTTTAACATCATTTACATATCATTTTATAATTGATCCAAAATTACTTTACAATTAATAATAATAATCATAAATATCAACGTACTAATGACATAAATAATATTATTAAAATGTTGTAAAAAATAAGTTACCCTAGTATTATTATTCAATAAATAAAAACCATTTAGGATGAATCCATTAAATTCTCTTGAAATCCATATGATGACTCCTGAATCATGGAACATGTTTTTCTATGTTGTTAGACTTGGTAAAAAAACAGTGAGTAAAAAAGTGTTAAATAGTAGACACTATGTTAAAATAGAAATGAAGATAGTTGAAAAGCATATGTTATTGTGTTGCAATGGCACTGAAAGAAAGTCCTTTTGTTTTCCTCCTTTGTTTGTTCAGTGATTTATTTACCTAAAAAAGTTGTCATGAAAATATCCGGCGGTTACATTGCAAAATGATTACACTCATTTATTACTCCTCATCACTCACTCTCCGCATCTCCACCCACCATCTTCTTCTCTCAACCCAATCCTACAATGGCTGCAGCTTTAGAGTGCTGGTCCAGCCGCGCCACCTCCGCCGCCGACGATGACACGGTGGAGCAGGTTCTCATGCGTACCCATCACAGATCTGAAGGCCCGGCTTCCACCCCTAAAGACCCCTCCTCCATCCCCAACGTCCACAAGAAGTTCCAGAAGCTCACCCGCAACGTCTCCGAAGCCATAGCCTCATTCAGAAATTCGCTAAACCTCGATTCACCTCCTTCCTCCAAAGCTGATGCCTCTTCGCGGAAACTTGCCTGGGGAAGTGTCGTTCGCAACCTCACTCAGCTCTACCCCGGAAGCCAACTCCCCGAGAAACTTATGTCCAACATTCGCAAGCATTATGATTCCTTGCCCCTCAGGTCCCAGAAAATTAATGCGGCCCAAAGTTTTTTATCTTTACTCGCAGTTTCGGTTTTTATGGTGTTCTGGGGAAGTTCTAAATTCTGTGCGTTTGGACGCTTTGATGTGTCTGGAGCTGATCGTGGATGGAAACTTTGACATTGTGGCTGAACTGGGATTGGGTTGTTTTTGAAAATGTTGATGCCAGTCGCCCATTTTGTCAAGTTTCGATCTTGTCGTATCAATGCTTGATCTTAGTTTCCGCTTTTCGTTTTTTTGTCGTGGGTTTTGTTATTTTTCATGCCTCACCCTCCCGAGTTCACTCAGTGTTTTAAATTGTGGCTGCCATCTTGTTTTTTTTTTTTTATCACATTTACTGTGGTTAAATGCAACCGATGCAGTCGCAATTGAAGTTGTAGATACTTTAAAAACCTGGATGTCGTGCTAAAATCGCGGTGGTGGACTTTTTTCAAAGTAGTTTGAGCTTTAAGCGACTTAAAAGACACAACAGATACTGGTTGTGGAATCATGGGTGTTTTTTTATTGTTTTTTTTTTTTTGGTTTTAACAAGATTTTTTTCTCTCGACGTGTTGCAGTTATGCACAGGCTGAGTTTGATATGAAGGACGTGTTTCTTCACATAAAGTTGATGGAGCAAGCTTCGGAGACCGACCAGCCTGCGATTTTGATTCAAGAAGATTGTGATGACGAGGTTCAAGGTTCTGCTCTGAAGCTCACGTTTGCTTGCAACTCTCCGATTTCCTGGCCTGCGATGTCAGGGGCATTGGATAGTTCCTCCATTTGCTGCAAGAGGATGCAGATCTTTGAGAAGAAGGGTTTCACCTTGGGAGTTGTGCTTCTTGTGGTTCAGTCTGGGCATGATAAGTTGGTGAGGACCAGGGTTGAAAATGCTTTAAAGTTTGCAATGAAGAAGCCTAAAACTGGTGCTGTGAAGCTCCCCTTCGGGCTCTGTGGGTGCCAGGAGGAAAATTCTAAAGGGAGAGATCTTGTGGAGATTGAAGAAGAATACGGTGATGGTTACCGTGGAAAGGAGTTTGAGAATTCAAGTCAAAGGATTCAGCTTCAGGTGCCTTTGCCTTCTTCATCTTTCGTTGTGTCAGTGGATGAATGGCAGACCATACAGTCAGGTGGGGATGAGATTGAGAAATGGTTGTTGAACTCAGATAGCGTGGAGTTTGTTGAGCAGATTGGGCCAAATTCGTACAAGGGTGTTTATATGGGGAAGAGGGTTGGGATTGAGAAGCTGAAGGGGTGTGATAAAGGGAATTCTTACGAGTTTGAGCTCCACAAGGATCTGCTGGAACTCATGACTTGTGGTCATAGGAACATTCTGCATTTCTGCGGTATTTGCGTGGATGATAATCATGGGCTGTGTGTGGTGACCAAGTTCATGGAAGGTGGATCTGTTCATGACCTGATGTTGAAGAACAAGAAGCTGCAGAATAAGGATATTGTGAGGATTGCAGTTGATGTGGCAGAAGGGATCAAGTTTATGAATGACCACGGTGTTGCATATAGAGACCTTAATACACAGAGAATTCTGTTGGATAGGCATGGGAATGCTTGCTTGGGAGATATGGGTATAGTCACTGCCTGCAAAAGTGTTGGAGAAGCTATGGAGTATGAAACTGATGGTTATAGGTGGCTAGCTCCTGAGGTTTGTCCCTATTCATTCTCACTCGTTCTATTCATCAAAATTCTTGTTTCAATTGCGTAAAATTGGTCTCAGGAATATGTTCCATAGTCATATGTAGTTCTGTAGTGTCTTTGCCATGCATAGTCCGTAATATTCTCCAGCTGACCATCAACCTTTTCTTTATAAGAAATAAAAAGTGAAGAATTAGATCACAATTTGGTATCTATCCTTTTTGAAAGATAGGGTCCCTCCTTCTCAACAGTACCTAGACCTACACACCTAACCTAAATCCTCATGGCTTTTAGGTAAGGTGATGGATGAAAATGCGTTCTATGCTTTTTACCTACTGCTAAACAAAATCTTTTGACACGGAATGGTCTGTTTCTTCTAAACATAGGTGCAAAAATACTAATGCTCATATCCTATGCTCATGGATTCGCTCTATGCTTCCTCAATCCATGAAAAAATTTATATGCACCATCTTTATTCTCAACGATTTGATAAGATTGAAATCTACTCAACATGGAAAAGAAAAAGATTTTCTGTATTTTACGCTTATTTGGCCAACCTGCTGTACTCCTATAAGAATGTTAGAACATTACCTACGAACCAACATTGTAGCACATAGTACACAAGCAATTACTCAGCCCTTTCTCTCTTTCCCTTCTTACTCTGAACAAACAGTTTATGTCATTACTGATTTCATTGTTAAGTTTAGTGCCAGTAATCTTTTCATTGTCCTAAATAATGTTTCAGCAAAAGTAATGTATAATCATAAGATCAAATTGTAGTTTGAATTTTCTTCTCTCGTTCTATTTGTCCTCATATACACACTATCTAGTTCGGTGACAAATTCCAGTCTAAAGTGTTTTAGCTCTGTTATCTTTTTTGTCTGTTCCTCATGTTTCAGTACACCTTGAAAATGACATACTAGATGTTCAACTATAGGCAATTTAGAGTAACTTTTGTGTGCTTTGTTGTCTAAGAGAATGCTGTTTAGATCCATTGTATGTAAAGCAATGCTGAACTATCCTACATTTAAAAGAAACTTTACGTCACTTGTCCTGGCATCATTGTTAGAGCATGCCTAACATGTCCTAATAATTGTTTTTTTCCTTTCACTTTATTGTGTTTACCTTTATATGGGCACTCGTGCATATGATTAGGAAAATAAGTGTGCTTGTGTGATGCCTATTATACCAGAATTAATTCCTTGCTGGAGCCCGCATGTCCTTAGGCTTTAAGCCTTTAGCATGATCTTTGCCCCAGCACTCTAGCTCTTTGTCCTACTGATAAAGGGTACTCTCAAAGCCCTCACACCTCGTGTGCAGGCAGAAAAACACACACAAAAGCTATCCACTAAAGCCATTCATTCAAAGAGAAAAAGTGATAACTGAATAGAAAGACATGTAAAAGTTTTCACTCACAAGAGTGATTATTTGGTTGTTGTCCATAAACAAGTTGGTTGTCATACTTTATTATCAAGTCATCTCGTTACACATCACTTACAAACACACCAGTTCACGTGTGTAGGTGACAAACATTCATCTTGCACAACCACACAAATGAGTGATATGACAAGTTGCCACTAGAATACATGTGCAGTTGTGAACTGATGTGTGTCCTTTTGATGTTTATCGGACTCTTTTTTTTACTTTTAGATGTATGTTATTCTCTTAAAAAATGAAAACTGGTGATTAATTATTTTTAGAGAAAAAGACTATTTATCACGGTTTTGGTTTTTTAGTACACATTTTCTAGAGTTCATTTTTTATGTATTATCAGTGTATAATGTTTACACTCTCAGCTAATTAGAAATCATCATTTGCACAAATTTTAAGATAACTATAGTAAAAGTCAATAAATTTATCATACATATCAGTCTATATAGTTAGATGAATCTTTTACACATTCAGTGCATTCACTATTTACTCTCTCTTTTTTATTTAAACATGACAACAGTTTCATTGTCTTCATACTCACTAGTTTTACCTTTTTTTGTTGTTGGGCTGAGAACAGATAATAGCAGGGGACCCAGAGAATGTGACAGAGTCATGGATGAGTAATGTGTATAGTTTTGGGATGGTAATTTGGGAAATGGTAACTGGTGAGGCAGCATACTCTTCATTTTCACCTGTTCAAGCAGCAGTGGGCATTGCTGCCTGTGGCCTTAGACCAGAAATCCCAAAAGACTGCCAACAAACTCTAAAATACATTATGACAAAATGCTGGAACAACGCCCCTTCCAAACGCCCTCAGTTCTCTGAAATCTTAGCCATATTGCTGCGACCAAACTGCAACAACAGATAAACTTCCACATATAGCAAGTTCATGGACAAGGAAATGATATGTCCATGGATAAACATGACCTGTGTCCCCCTTTTATGGCAGTAATGAAGATGTAAATTTTCTGCTTTTCACAATCTTGTATTTACTGTCATCTCTTGATGACAAATCCAAATGTCTTTGTCATCATAATCACACTGTTTTCCATTTCATGATTGTCTGAAAATGAAAATATATTACAATAGAGAAAACAGAAACCAAGTACTGATATTTTTTACTAAGTAGTTCAAAATAAAAGTAAGTTAAACTAGTTTTACTTCGGATGGTGTATATGGATTAACATTCGGTTACTTTCAGCATGAAATATTTTTTTCAAATACGAAACCTTAAAATTCAGACATGAGTACCCTTTTTTGTGCTGTTTTTCTTAATTCTAAAGTAAGTTCTTATCTTGAACGTTTGAATAATGAAAGCTGATGCTACTTATTACCATCAAGTTTTTCCTATTGCAACGAGGTTAACATTTATAAGAGGTTATCTAGGAGCATTATGTTGTGAAAACTAGGATAATGTTGTGAGGAATATGCTTTCTGGGGCCTGCTAAAATGGTCATTTTTGTTGGTTCTTCCTTTGTTTGTTCTTCCTTTGTTTTTTCTGCAGTGGCTATCCAAAGGGTATCAAAAAGGGGTCCCTTTTGATCTTGTGTTTCCTTAGTGGTGAAATAATCTAACCCTTTAAGAACGAAGTGACGTGTTTCTTGCAAGTGCCGGGCACAGTGATATTTACACACATCTGTTCCCATGGTTGAGCCTATTGATGGAAAAGTTGAAATGGAATTGATCTGTAGAACATGAACCAGATTCCTCAAATTACTACATTTTTCTACTATTTTTGTATGCATGAACCTGAAATCTTGTGCATGGGACAGAGCATTTCTTTACACGGCGATTAGGAATTTAGGATAAAGAATCCGTTGACAATGTCAAAAAACTTTTTTGTTTTTTTATGTATGAAAGATTTATGAAAATGTGAATCTATTCTATTCATATAAATTGCAAATGTGGATTTATAGTGGAGTGAGGGATTTGGCTTTAGGGGGAAAGATATTTTTAATTTATAGAGGTAAGCTTTATTCCTTTCTATTTTGTATAGTTTGCTATATTAAATGAGAAAGTTGTCTACCTTAAATGCTAATGTTGTCTATAATATTTTTTATGGTTAATAATTTATTAAATTTATAATTTTATAAATACTGGTTTCAAGTTTATATGAATTTAACTTCATATTTTATATCATCTATTCTCTCAAGTGCTCTAGATTTAGTAACCTTTTCCCTAGCATTTTTATTTATTTACCCTCTTTCATTCCATTTGTTTTTAGTGTTTTAATTTCCATTTCCATATTATTTATGAGATGGATTCAGACTAATATAATGATTTTTTAATTATTTTATGCAAAATTATAAATATTTTTTTTCTTAGCTTTCTTATATCACTTTTCAATTCAAAATTTTCAATATTATTATATCCTATTGTTTTCATAACTATTTATAAGTCTATAATAAATATTATGAAAAATTACTTTTGACATACTTTTACACTAATTTAAAATATTATTTTTATTTTTTCAATAAAAAAATTTATGTCAAATGAGTGTAATTATGTCAACATACTATAGTAGTAAAAATTAAAAACAAATCAAATCACCACACATACATTAACTTTATATGAAAAATCAATCTCAATGTAACATTTTCTTTAAAAAGGAGTTAAAAAGTGCAAAAATTTGATTCCAACAAGTTACGATAAAAAAAAAACTCAACAATAAAATTTGAAAAAGATATATTGTAAAATTCCATAATGGTATTTTAGAAGTAGTTGTAGTCTAAAAGTAGTAAGACTCGATTATTTTAACGTTAAATGATTTTATTATAAATAGTTTTGTTATAAATGATTTTCATTATTTTAAAACGTATAATCTCTCTATAAATCATTTTTCTAGAGTTCTCTATCTTCTCTCTGAGAGTTTTAACTCCCGAGTCATCTCTTTGACGATCAGGAGGTACCTAATCGATCATGGCAACGAGGTCTACGTTTCTACTCGATCAGTTTCTTCAATATAGCAAGTAAGTTTTGACTCCTTTTTCTCTTTCCGTTTCCAAATCTGTTTTAGAGGAATCTTGTATTGTTGCATGTGTAATCATGTCTCTCCTACTCGTTCTTGGTTCATCTAGAGTTCTAAGGACTTTGTCCGTTTTCAATTTGGTGTTTTATAGGTTCGTCTAGGTATTCCCTACAGTTCAAGTAATGGGCAAAGCGTTTTTAGAGTTGGGCAGTTTATTTGAGAGGTAAGGAAAGCTAGGATTCTTGCTTTAGTTATGATTATATTAATAATTTGGTATCTCTTGGAATTCTTGTTAATTTTGAAGAAGTTATTATGATTTGATGTCTTATAAGTGTGTTTAATTGTTAATTTGGATGGTATGATGTTGAGAGGAACTGTATTTGTGTGATCTTAATGTGTTATACTGTCATGAATGTGATTGGTGAAGTTGTGTTGTTGTTAGAAACTGAGTTCAAAGTGGTTGTGATGAGAAATGATTACATTGTTGAGTTTTAAGCCTAAAAAGGAAAGGTTTTCAAGGGTGAGTTTGAGAAATAGAGGCTATTGAGAGTGGACCATTGTTTAGGTACTGTCATGAGGTAGATTGAGATTTGTTGGGTATATATTGGAGGTTGAAATACGAGCTATAGTGAAAGTTGAGTTTATAGTTGAAGTTTGTAAGTGTTTTGAAGGAAATAAGATGTTTTAGATAGTGAAATGGTGAGAGAAGGATGGTAAACTGGTTTGAGCCATTTGAGGTCTGTTATGAGATGTTTTGTGACTTGTCTACGCATTGAAATGGAGAAAATTTGATGTAAGAGTGTTTGGTGGTTGATAAGTAAAGTTTAACTTGGTTTAGAATTAGTTTTTGAGGGTTTGGACTAGTAAGAATTTGAATTTCGGGTTATGTGTTTAAATGATCATTTTGGAGGATGTTAGTAAGTCATTTGGGACTTGTTGGAGTCCCTAAGTTGTTTAAAAATAAGCTATAAATGGTAGAATCCAATTTGGGTCTATAAAGTGAGGTTTTAGTTAATTTTGGATTGGAATCTTGTGATCAACCACTTTAAAATGAGTTTAGGTTGGTTTAGATACATTTGTTTAGGTCCATTTGAGTGTATAATACAATCTAGGAGTTTTAGAAGATGAGAAAGATGCATATAATAGGTCATGAGTGGTTGAGGGGTGCAAATTCTGCAGTTTTGGTGTTGCAGAATTATGCAGTCTAGTTGAGCGAGCTCCCCGCTGAGTGAGTAGAACACTTATAGCTGAGCGAAAGTCTCACTAAACGAGAAGTGAACAAGCAGAACCCACTGTTTCTATTTTTGCACAACGAGTAATCCATAACCTGTTTTGATTATTTATTTATTTATTTTATGATAACTTTGAGCTATGCTTTGACTTTGAGGATGGTGTAGAAATATCTGTAGTATTCTATGGTGATTTATTCTTGAGGTGTGTATGTATTTGATGTATGTAAATGTTTGGATACAATGTGATAATATATGGTTATAAGTATGGTTTCACGGTTGGTAACATGGGTCCCACAGGAAACTCCTTCGGTATGGTTTTAAGTATTTTAGAATGAATGCAGGGAGCTCAACATTGGGGGTTATTCTAACACTCTAATGGTCTTTCAATCTCAAATAGAGAAGATTGATACATGTGGTGAGAGTAGTAGGAAGTCCTAGTCTAGGTGCTACCTAGAGGCCTATGACGCGGTAACAGACTAACCTTATGTGGGTGGTGGGTGAAACCCATTGACAATGGCTTTGCAAAGTAGTAGAGGCCACCACAAGTGCACAACCCGCCATAACTCGATATTCATTCTAATTCCGGACAGTCGGTTTAGGTCTTTGCATGTTAAGATGTTTGAATTGGATTAAATTACATATAATTCTTATATGAAATGCTTTAAACTTATGATGTATTATTTTGGATATAGCTTACCCTTGCTTTTTATGTTGTGTGTTGTTTCTCTTTGCGATGATCACCTTAATGGTATGGGTTTAGGAAAAACATCTTTTCGGGGATCCAACAATTTGTTGAAAGAGAAGCAACAGGATAAAGAATTTTGCTCTTCAAGGATAGAATCTTCTGCTCTAGTAGTCTCAGGTTTTTTATAAATTATCATGTATATATGTTTTATTTTAATAGTTTTATACTATTAAAATGTGATGTAACTAAAAAAAATACAAAATAAAAAGAGTAACACAAAGGAAAATAAATAAGGTGGATGCCACTTTAGAAAATGTTAGAATGAATATAATAAATTGGAGGAATTAAATATTTTATTTTTGAATAGATTAGGGTAACACCAATACAAGTAAGAGATCATGAAAATGTTACGTAATGATGGAATACAAATAACAAAAAAGAAGCCTTAAGCAGTTTTATTTTAATTTGTTATTTCAAGTAAGTTATTCAAGCCTTAAGCAGTTATTTGCAGTAATTGTTGCTTAAACGGGCTGTAATAGAGCAAACAATTCCAAACAAATTTTCTGAAATATATTTAGGACATGAAGAAAATAAAAATAATTAGAGTAAATATCAAGTAGTTATTATTATGCATGCTTTTTTTTTTCTCATTTATTAGGCTCTAACTTTTGTAATTTTAATTTACCATAGCCCAAAATTAATGTAATGATTTATTTTTTTTTCATTTCTATATCTTTAGTGATGAAAGAAATAAACATAGTGAGTTTATAAAAAATAAGTTAAGAACACACGCATATTTTAAGACAAAGCAGTGAAAAGAGTAACATTTATGTTAGGTTTACAACAAGTATACGATGTTGTGTGTTATATAGATGAAGTTATTTATTTATTAATGGGGAAACGTAGTATTAATTTCTGCTTTTGGAATTTCCACGCTGACATTGGAGAGGAGACCAAAGAAGAATTCGACGTCGTTTGGAGTGAAGGACAAGATAAAACGGCGACGTGGCATGTAGTCATTCCGGTGCATTCGTTTTGTCCACCCCGCTCAGGATTCTTCCATACTCACAGTAACAGGCCCACTCTCTCTCTCATTGCTGCAAGAGAAGACAGAGAGAAATGGTAGCGAGTAAAGCAAAAACCCTAGGTGCGTAGAACAATTAAGAAACCA